TGAAACCTAGTTTCTCCTTGGAGGCTAGGATTTTAAAGCTCCGTCTCACATATTTTGGGCCCGTGGGCAGGAGGGACCAGTCCTTGGAAAAGGACACCAAGCTCAGGACGGTGGAGGGACAGTTCAGGAGAGGAAGACTCAGGATGAGATGGACTGATAAAGTCACTGGATCAGTGTGTGTGTGTGTGTGGGGGGGGACAGAAGTAGTGAGACTGGCTCAGAACAGGGCAGGCTTCATATGAGCCAGAATCAGCCCCTCACAGCAACATCATAGGCTACACCCAAAACCTTCTGAATCTGTGTTGCTGGTACTTAAAATGCTGAGAATTTACATACTAAATAAACTCAGTGACTTGTAGGTATAGCTGAGAAACACTGTTCAAGGGAAGGAAAGTATTCTTCTGGATTTATTTAGACAGATGCTATTTTTCCCTCCACATCTTTCCTTTTCCCAGTTCCCAGTATGCCCCTATAACACATTTATTCACTATAGGAAATATTCTGCTTGGACAGAAGCTTTGCATGAGGGACTCATTAAAATATAAAATACAGTGTTCCTCTGTCATTCTCAATCCTCTTAACTCCCTATCCTTTGAGGAGATAATCAGCTACCATTCAGCATTTCATCTTGCTCATTAGGGTAGGAGAGGCAGGCGAAATGAGTTGCTGATAGCACAGACTTTAGGGTTTGAATCTTTCATGTGATTTGTGTTTGGGTTACATTTTTTTTAATGCTCTAAGCTTTATTTTCTTCATTTATACAATGCAAATACATTGCGGACCTAAAAGGGATGATAGTAGAAGATCTTTGGCAGTGAGGAGAAAATGTGGCACAGAACTAAAAACCAAAATAACCCAGGCTAACTGGTCTTATATAGATTGGAAGGCCCCCAAAATGATAATCATTAACCACCTTTGGAATCTAGAATAAAAGATCCCCCTTGTCTCAAATTTTAGTCAGATAATAGACCTACAAATTGACCAACGACACCACATAGGCACTCATTCCTTAGAACAACCAACGACATAGAATGTTGGTCAAAAGGGCAGCTTTTGCCCAAGGATAAAGCCCAGGAGGCAGGAAACTGTAGGACGAAAGGAATAATGGAAATTAGAATTATACACAGAGTGAGAATAATGCGAGTACATTACGGGTACCTAACTAATGATATTAGCACTCTTGGTACTAGCAGTCAGGAAATAAGGAGAGGTAGCACTGGGAAAATCTACAGTTAGGGGCTTTTTCAAATTATTGAAGAGTAGTGATGTCAGTTTGAAGACCAAGGTGTGTCTGATTCAGGCCCTAGTCTTTCTGATTACTTGCTGTACATCCAAGAGCTGGACAATGAATAAGGATAACAGAAAAAGAATTAAGTCTTTGGGCTGTGGTCTTGGAGAAGAGCACTGAGGATCTATTGGACAGTCAAGAGAACAAAGAGTTATGTCTTGGAGAGGGTATAGTCAAAGTGCTTTTTGGAGGCAAAAATGATGAGGCTTCACCTCATATACTTTGGACATGTTGCTAGAAGGTAGTATTCCTTGGAGAGGGACATGACACTGGGGAGGGTGGAAGGTCGGCAAAGGAGAGGAAGGAGTGGATTGACATGGTGACTTCTGCAATAAACTTGTGTGTTAGGAAGTGTGAAGATGGCACAGGACAGAACAAGGTTCAGATCTTTTGTTCGTAGGGTCGCTATGAGCTGTACTCAACTCGATGGCACCTAACAACAACAACAACAACTAATGATATAAAATAAAACTTGTATGAATGTTTGAATGGAAACTAATTTGCTTTGCAAACTTTATTCAAATCACAATTAAAAGATAATGTAAATATTATTATAATTTAAAGACATGTTACTCAGCTACTAATATGCAAGTTTAAG